AGTGACAGACAGATTCATGTACAACTAGTTCTACTTTTGTGCTTTCATTCTCTATGTAATTTATACTTACTTATTACTTAATTAGTACTTGCAAATACTCAACTAAACTGGTACATATACCCCAGTAATACAGTTTTAGAATATAAGGCTGATTGTGAAGAGGTCTGTCATACTTAAATAACTGAATAATGTGAATAGTTTAAACATCCCAAACTGACTGACTGAGTTTGGTTTTACGCCGCTTTTAGCAATATTCCAGCAACATCACGGCAGGGGACACCAGAAATGGGCTTCACACATTGTACCGATGTGGGGATTCGAACCCGGGTCTATGGCATGACGAGCCAACGCTTTAACCACTAGGCTACCCCACAGCCCCAAACATCCCAAATATAAACGTAATCCCAAACATATAACATATATTATATCTGACAGATCCATTTCATGGGACCTTTGAAACTAATCCTAATGCCAAACTTAATAGGACCTCAAAATGTCTAACACTGAGAAATATTAAAAATACAAATGATTTGACAACTGTTTAAGTAAAACAGAACTTGTTCCTAATTTAAAAAAATATTTTTTCAAAAATTTAACTCACTTGGAACACTGCAAACATCTTATTCAGGCTGTAGGGATACAGCCAGGCAAATAAAACATAATGAAGGTCGGCGTTTACTAGCTGAAGGCGACTGATATTTGTTTTCATGCTAATACAAGCTTCGTTGAATAAAGATAGTTTCCTTAGTTTTCAGCTTCATCATAATATAAACTGTAGTGAAAGTTGAAGCATCTTTCGAGGATCTACATTTAAATCTTGAAACCCAGTTTTATAGGGATCATCCGTCTCGAAACCATCGACGCAAGAAACAAACCAACTGATTTTAATTTTGTCTGCACATAAAGTTATTTTCAGCGCCAGTCTTCACAAGATGGAGCCCTATTTGATGAAAGCTTGTAAGGAGGAAGAAGATAAATAGACATCAATACCGAAGTGGGGAAACCAGTGGACAATATACCTCGCACATCGACGTTCCCCCTAACAAGACTATCACGGGGATAATGACTGGACGAAGATAAAATGAAACTATTATGAACCATTGTCAGCGAATAAAAGATAATGAAGACCCTAAAACGCCTCCCATTATCGGGCATTCATGGCAGCGCGTATCATCAGGACAAACATTTACACTAAGGTCACCTCTAGCTCAATAAGACGTTCAAAGTGTGGCATCGTACCCGACTCACTACTTGGTATCGCCCTGCACTAATAAACACGCTCCCTTGAATGGCAACACTTCCACTTCTATCTGATCAATAGTATGAGTCATTAATAGAGGCGACTTATCAAGACCCTGAAAGTGTCCAACGCGTTCGCTTTAGCAACGTCAATCGTCGGTCAATTTCCAATAATTTGATCACTGCGGTTCCATTTCCTATTTGAAGTTTGTCTACATGGAAGTAGAAGATCCTCCAAGACAAAGTTGCTGTGGTTACATTCATCGCAGATTCAATTTGAGCAACTGATTCGGTTTCCATGACAACTGAAAGGATGGTGAAACAAACGGGACAGAAAGGGGCACAGCAAAAAATGGGGGAGGATAATGGAGTTATTCCTAGTTGTCTGTTTCAATCTGCAGCATAGATGACATTGTCAAACTACCTTTTTTATTTCATTTTCTTTGTCACCAGTGGCAAGAAACGTAATAAGAATGAAATTGAGTTCATAGCGGCAAAGACCAGCGATGATTGGGGATTCAAAAAGCTAAGTCACAAATGTGCTGCTGGCAAAAAGGATGTCACTATGAGAAAACTATTCAACTCCATATAAAACACATTCAAACAGTTTCCGGGCTTGAAATAGGCCCATTCCCCAACTCAATCCATCTTTATTATGTATGTTCCGATGTCAAAAAAGCAGCATAACCTTCTCCAGAATGGCATACAGTTTAAGTACTGAAAACCAAAGGATAGGTTCCATAGGGATTGTATAGAACAGGGATTACATTGGGAAATGTGACATGAAGAATATTCTTTTACAGCACATATTGTATATAAATATACCCTGAAGTATCATATATTGACAGATATTTGGACATTCTAAAATAATACTCATTATATGCTGTTTCATTGGCACCTAAATATTTTGGATTTGTAAAATGTTAAATATAAAGGAAGTATAGGATCACCTGATTCTCTCATATTGCTGTTGTCATATGAGTAAGGTGAAATGTGGTTTAACGTCGCACTTAAGACTATTTCGCTCATATGACGACGTGCATGAGTGTTTAAACTGCAATCAGGATTCAAAACTGGCACACTGTGCTTGTATCCCGCCTACACGTACCATTTACCATGTTTCATTTCCATCCTAATGAGTGAGTGAGTGAGTTAATATTTAACGTCACATTGGCAATATTTCAGCCATATCGTGACGAGAACATATTTGACACTGAAATATAATATGTGTATATTATAAAAACCTGTCTTCAAAGGACAGTAAAACAACTAGGATATCACAATTACAACAAGCATTGTCACTAAGGTGACATAATCCCCCGCCGCAAATTATCAACTCAAACTTATAAAGTAATGAAAGTTTAAGATGAAGTTAAATGTCAACCTCTCTTGATATCTTGCTCTTTAGTTGTTCAAACACACACATATTTTCAAGACTGACTTTGACCTTGACATGAATGTCATAGTGTATGAAATATGCAAAACTAGTACTAAAGAAATTGCTTATTGAAAAACATTCAAGGGAGGTCTTGAAAGTCTATGAAGAAAATCCAGTGAACCGTTCTTAAAATATCTTGCTGACATCAGGTTAACATGCTGAAATCTTCAAAGTGTCCTCGTGACCCTAAAAATTATGTGGAGGTCACCAAAATTGACTGGGCCCGGGGCCTTCCCTAGATGAAGCTTGGTGTCAAATATGAAGAAAATCCACTGAATATTTTTTGTGGTATCTTGCTGACTATCTTAACATGCAATTTAACATGCTGAAATCTTCAAAGTGTCTCTGTGACCTTGAAATCTAAGTGACGGTCACCAAAATGGACTGGGCCCTGCGCCTTCCCTGGATGAAGCTTGGGGTTAAATATGAAGAAACTCCAGTAAATGGTTCTTGAGGTATCTCGCTGACCAGCATAACATGTAGATTAATATGCTGAAATCTTCAAAGTGTCTCTGTGACCTTGAAAATTAAGTGAAGGTCACCAAAATTGACTGGGCCCTGCACCTTCCCTAGATAAAGTTTGGTGTTAAATATGAAGAAAATCCAGTGAACGGTTCTTGAGATAGCTTAACATGCAGGTTTACATGCTGAAATCTTCAAGTATTGCCATGACCTTAAAAAATTAGGTGAAGGTCACCAAAATCGACTGGGCCCTGCGCCTTCCCTAGATAAAGCTTGGTGTTGAATATGAAGAAAATCCAGTGAACGGTTCTTGAGATAGCTTAACATGCAGGTAAAACGTTAAAGTCCCCTTGTGACCTTGAAATGAAGGTCAAGGTCACCAAACTTGACTTAGGCCTTTCTTATAGTGTGATGAACCTAGGTACCAAATATGAAAAGAATCTAGTGAACGGTTCTTAAGATATTTGAATTCGTACGTACGGACGGAGCCTAATACTATATCCCCCACTTCGCACTAAACGCGCGGCGGGGGATAACTAAAACTAGTGTGGGAAGTTAAAACTAATAGCACTATTTGGACAATACAATATAAAAATTGGCTATAGACCATCTTAATGACAATGGGGCGGTGAAGGAGCCTTGTGGTTAAAGCATTAGCTTGACACGCCTAAGACCCAGGTTCAAGCCTATTTCTGGTGTTATTGCTGGAATATTGCTAAAAGTGGTGTAACTAAACTCACTCTTAATGACAGAATCCAAACCAATAATAATCTATTCGCCTGAAAAGTTTTTCATTAATCACTCTCAGTTATTACATTTCTGTCTGAAAGAAAAAATAGTTTTCCTGATATTCTATGATTAAAAACAGCTCAGTTATTCATAAAACTGCATCAAAGAGTGGTGATAAGCCACACAAACATGTAATGTGAACAGCAAACCTAATATCACTGCTCTCATTAATATGTCTACCTGAAAGTCATCTCTCTACAAGCAGCAGGTGTGAGCATTACTAAAGGCAGCATGATTAATCATTAAACACAAATAATGAAAGCTGTTATGAAACACTGATGAAAATACACTCCTGTGAAACAGTGTTCGGATCACACACTGCACCAGCAACACTGAGATCAATAGAGGTGGAGGGGAGACAACTCTTGACTCCTTACAATGTTGTGGTTTGATTTTATGGAGAATTCTATCAATACACATAACAGGTGAATTATGACATCACTGAGTTAGTCACCATGAAACATACTGTGACAAATACCAGTGACAGATTCTTAGTCAAAGGTGCAAGATTCGAGTATATTATTTTGACTTCCCTCAATTTTAGAAAATTCTATGACAGCAAAATTACATATTCATATTGCATATTTTAAAGGGGCGTTAAGATACATCTACCTCATGCATGCGAAAGCTGAGTCCCAATATTACATTTGTGCTGTTTGGGCTTCACACATTGTACCCATGTAGGGATCGAACCTGGGTCTTCGGAGTAACGAGCGAACGCTTTGACCACTAGGCCACCCCACCGTCCCTCCAAGTGATACGGCTATGAGGAGGTCGCTGATATCACCAAGGTACAGGCTTGTATGATAAGTATTATGTATTTTGATAATGTGTGACACTAATGATTAAGATGGATCCTTAATGATTAAGAGTGATATATATACTCATTAACACAGCTCAGCATATCATGATTTCCTCTTTATTAATGCTGATTTTGTATAAAAGATTGGGCTGTCTTCCTATAACAAGCTAAAAAACTTATTTTTTTCATAAATTACAATAAGTAAATGTCGAACACTGAAGAAGATGAACAGGGAAGGGAAAACCACTGTTGTATAATGGTGGAGCCTACCTTCTGAGGGGGGAGGTTGGCGAGGTTGGTGAGGTTGGTGTCTCCGCCATGGTTGCAGGGTGTCGTCGTCTCCTACACGTCCATCAGATGTCTCAACACGTCCGCAGTAGGCGATCTTCAGCCTGTTCATACGGAAGACACAATTAGATATGCACACCAGACACATCTATCAACACATACAGACAAAATCCTTACTTTGTTGACAGGTACATGCTTCATGTACAAAATACAACAATAAATGATAATTATTTCCTATTTTTCACATCAAGACTGATTTTATGAAAAAGCATGACAATTTTTCATAAACAAACATACAATAGTTTCCTTTTCCAAAACTTCAGAACATAACACCTCCCCACTGCCTCTGAAGAAGTGATGAGCTTTTGTTAATACCACTAACCAAAGGGAGATAACTTTGATTAAAAGTCAATAAATCCTTCATCAAGGCTACCCCAAGTGCCCCCACCATAAATCTGACAAGGTTGATCATATGTTCAGTCTCATCCCCAGCAGATTATTTGTCTGAAGAACACAGAAAATATCCCGGTCTCCTTTGATGTTCCCAGAGGCAGCTAATCAGAAATGAGATAATGGCTGTACATGAATAAATACGGTTTCTTTGTTCTTGTGTACAAGTGTCATAGGAAATGCTGTATAACACTAAGGGGTGAAGGGCAGCTGATGTAGCATTAACTCCAGATGATAAAAGAATCCCTCCTTCGGCCCATATGGAAGACATAGGAAACAGTCCAACTACCATGTAGAGATGGCTAGGGTAATGTAAGAGAATGAGAAATGCCAGTGCAACAGGGCAAGATGACAGACAGTTTGTTCGCTTGTACGTTGGTTATCCAGGGTGGAGCCTAACTTTCTGTAGTTGGGATGGTGAGGGAGGTGGGGTGCATGGGGAGAAGGCGTTGAGAAGTTGTAACTGCACTGAGATAGCAAAGCAAGCAAGCTTGTACAACTGTAGCTTCCTTCTAACTAGGGGCGGTGGGGTAGTCTAGTGGTTAAAGCGTTGGCTCGTCACGCCGAAGACCCAGGTTCGATTCCCCACATGGGTACAATGAGTGAAGCCCATTTCTGGTGTCCCCTGACGTGATATTGATGGAATATTACTAAAAGCGGCATAAAACCAAACTCAGTCAGTCAGTCAGTCAGTCGTAACTAAGTCCCTGTTAACAGCGATATTTAGACTGGAGCACTTCAGCTTCTAAATAAGTAAATTAGTTTGGACCAGTGATTGCTAATATCAGCTTCAGCTTCAGTCACGTTGACATGCTGACAACTAGCGAATGAGTGAATAAGGTTTTATGCCGCGTTTAGCAATATTCCAGCAATATCACGGCAGGGGACACCAGAAATGGGCTTCACACATTGTACCCATGAGGAACTGAACCCGGGACTTCAACGTGACAAGCGGACACGTGAACCACTAGGGTATCCTGCTGAAAACTAAGTCATCAAGCTTCACCATCCCATGTACTGAGTCACTTCTAAGCTCTAGTTAGTATTACTTACTGGGGACTGTTCTTACCAGGATCCTAATGTGATACAAGCAAGCTAATAAAAGTTGATTACTCTTAATATGAATACACAAGGCCTTTTAGAAAGTGGTCAAATGCAGCATATGACACACTTCGGGTAACACTTTCATACTTGTGATAGTATCTTTAAGGTTTGACAATCATAATAGCCCATGTGACGGAAATGATAAAAGTGTCACAAACAACATCAGTCACCCATATTCCTCCATGTCACTTTTCAAATCAAAGGGAGTGAGTGAGTGAGTGAGTGAGTGAGTTGAATTTTACCGCACTCAGCAATATTCCAGCTATATATATCCTTGCAAATCAACTCAAGGCAGTTACCACATTTGACTGCATTTCATTTGTTACTCATTATTACATTCAATATACTCAATACTAAACTACTGGTTGTTGTTCCAACTCAGTACCATGAGCATATATAATTTTTAAGTCGGGATTAATTCCTTGCTTCTATTTGTTCATTGTCATTACCAATTGGTTGGTTGGTTTGTTTGTTGTTCAACGCCGCAGTCAGCAATATTCCAGCTATATGGTGGCGGTCTGTAAATAATCAAGTCTGGACCAGACTAGTGATCAACAGCATGAGCATCGATCTACGCAATTGGGATACGATGACATGTGTCAACCAAGTCAGCGAGCCTGACTACCCGATCCCGTTAGTCGCCTCTTACGACAAGCATGGGTTACTGAAGACCAGATCTAACCTGGATCTTCATGGGTGTACTACATTAGTACCGATTAATTACTGGCTTCATTTGTTAAGTGCCTACCATTGTCATGTTATCACTGTTGTTGCTTCACATATACCTATAGGGCTATCTGCTTCCTAGTTGTTCATTCAACTGATGAAGGAGTAAGAATATACTCCGAAACATCATATTCCTCATAAAAAATATGTTGACATCCATAAATCCTCACCTTTTATTTGTATCACTTGTGACTTCTAAAGCCGTTCAAAAACCACAAATTTGAACTGTTACAATCTGTGGCAAAAGCTTGCGAGTCTGGTAGCCAGAACGAGGCTCTTGTAATCATCTTCAGCAGATATGACATTTTTATAGACTTAGAACTACTTAAGCTGAGAATACTTGTCTGAAGCGAATTTTGATTGACATGGTTGATGGAAGAACAAACATATGCAATCATAGCTTGATATACCAGTACACACCCAAACAACAAAAGGACTGTGAAACCTCAAACACACCATAACGATTGTTCTGTCAAGGTGTGTGTGACATTCCTGTGCACTGAGAGTCCTCTCCACCAGCTGTAGCTGATGCCAGGCAGCCAGTAGTGCATGAGGAGAGATGCATATCTCTGATAACACTCTGCAGCCTCACGCACATCCTTTGTCCCGTCACAACACAGGCCAGGAAATGTGTATCACAGCACAGAAGGATATAATAGTACACATATACAATATACCATATATTTTTATTATAACATACCATCTGGATTTCAAACCTTTCTGGACAAATAGTTCTTTACTGGTCAGTGTTTGGTAATAAGGATGAAAATCGAGAGATGTCAACAGCTCTTGCAATGCATTGTCAAGCTTGTCGGGACGTAGCTCAGTACTGAATATTGACCATGAATATTAATGGCTAATTCATTTCATCAACCGTCTAGTCATAAAAATCAAATGCTAAGCAACAATTGAGTCAGTTTAGTTTTTGGAATGGGCCTCACATATTGTACCCATGTGGGGAATCGAACCCGGGTCTTCGGTGTGACGAGCTAACACTTTAACCACTAGGCTACAAATGCTAAGCAATACAAAAATACTAATAACCTACACCATACTATCATAGTATCTAACCAACTTTGAGGTTTGATAATTAAAACAACCAATGTGACAGAAATGATAAAAGTATCCATAACAATAACAGGCCCAGGAACTGTGTTTCACAGCAAAGGGGAACATTATTTCAGAACTGTACAATAAATATCTGTTTGCTCGTAAGAGTTTGGAAAATAAGGATGAAAATCAAGTGATGTTGACAGTTCTTGCATTGACTGGTGTTTAAACAAGAAAACGTAGGGGTCTCTAGATTCCTATGGTAGAAGCGCTAATTTCCAGGATTGTAATTTTGAACTAGTGGTACTAGCAGCAGTAACTATAACCCTGGTTCACTGTGAGTGAGTGAGGTTTTACGCCTCTTTTAGCAATATTCCAGCAATATCCCACCAGAAATGGGCTTCACATTGTACCCATGTGGTAGAAACTGGGCTATCAGTGCGACGAGCGAACACTTTAACCACTAGGCTACCCCACCGCCCTGTTGGTTCACTGTGAATGACTTTCATATTGACTTGTTGTTACCATAGCTACAGACCGTTCTAGTTTATTCCCGATAGATTCTCAATCCAAATATGTATCGCATTTTATATTCTTCGGCAAAGTGCATGCTTTATGATCACTGAAGATCTCACATCAAATCATGCAACATAATTCACTTCCAAAAGGCTTGCCTTCAAATATGAGTAGTTCCATTATAGATTGTGCAACAATATACTGACTTATCAACTTGGAAAGAAGACTGGATAAGATTTTTGTATCTGCCATTGCCCTCAGCGATTGTTGCCAAAAAGTCTGCACACTCCTGATGATTACAACCCAATATGTACATTGAAAGCTGCGTGATGCAAAATGTAAGCGCACATATTTGAAGCAAAGTGTTTCAAGAAGTGATTTTGGATGCAATTTTGCAGATTATTATGGAGGATTGTTAGTGCGATGTGTTTTGAACCAGGAATCTATTAGCATGATTAGGAGAGAGTAGCTCGGCAAAGCCAAAAGTCAATATTGAAATCATCTATAAGGAACAACATAGAAATAAGGTTACTGCATCTGTGCTAGTACATGCTCAATGAAAGAAAAGAACAGTAGAATTAGGAAGTTAAAACAAAACAAAAAAAACCCAAAACAGAAGACTTGAAATTGATGCCAGTAAACATGGTAAAGCCAGCAAGTAGCAAATATATATGTAATCTGACATACATATTTTGTTTCCCCAAATGTCTGTTGCTGGTCCCAGAATAACTGCCCATCAAGTCATTTTCCTCTACTTTTCAAATAAGGTGTTATAGTGAATTTGGACTGTTTTTCATATATTTTATAGAAGATGACACAAACATGCTAAATCAGTAATTTATCATGTTTATCTAATTTTGGTTGGTTTAGTAGTGGCTACCATGGAAACAATAATGTGACTGCGAAATGACACAGAGTGGCTCATATTTGTCAACATGGTTAAACAGGGGGTGACACCATATTTAGCTCAATTTGCACATCATTTCGGACAAGTGGTTATGCAAAATAACTAGAATTTGAATAAAAAATAAGTCCCTATAGACTGTTACTAGCCTCAGACTTATGACCAAGTGACCATGTCTATCCCTGTTAAACCACTAAAATTCCTAATACATGTACAACATATCAACACCCATGTAGGCTCAAGACGGAACATCTTAATCAAGATAACTTGCTTGATATCGGTGGGAAAGACTTCTGCTTGTATCCCCCTAAACCTTATCCTTACCCTAACCACCTTCTTTATTTCTGAACTGTA